ATAAATAGAAAGTACAAAATTTTGACAAATATAAGATAAATGAATAATTCTTCGAAATTTATATTTTATACATATGATAATTTAAATATATATATATATATATTTATTAGAATTAATTTTTATTTTTTAAAATATATTATTTTTTAGATAAAAAAAATATGTATGTGTAAATGGTTTGTCTTTGATCTTTGAACCACATTGTGTGTTGGTTGGAGTTCTAGAACGGCCCGTTCTGAACCCGGAACGGCCCGTTCCGATTTCAAAACGGCCAGTTCTGATGCACTCGTTGGTGTTAAATAATGCATCTGAAACGCCCGTTCCGGATGCAAAATTTACGCACCACGAGTGCAACCAGAATGGTCCGTTCCGGTTTCAGAACAGGCCGTTCTGGTTTTAGATGCATGAAAAAATTAAGCATCCACGTCCGCATCCAAGTGGCGTCCACGTCACCAGGAGTTAACTCGTTTAAATCATTTAGATAGAAGTCCCAAATTGCAATAATTTAAATTATTGGAGACCAAATTGAAACAAAAAATTAAAATGAAACTAAATTGAAACAAAAAATATTATAAGAGACCAAATTAGATTTTTAACCTAAATTTAAATGTTCTTTTAATTTATGTATAAAGCGGAAGTTTTAATTTTGGTTCAGTAAAGAAATTAGTCTTTCATTTTTTCAAAACATATAATTATCATTTTTAATTTTTACTATTTTATAACTCCTCTTAAGTATGTATTTATCTAAAGATTAAATGATTATTTCACATAACACTCATAATTTTGAAACCATGTACACTTCGATAATGATGATTTTAAATTTTAAAAAAATAATAAGAAATAAAATATTTTACATGAGTAAAAATTAAAATTTATTCATTTTCCAAATTTTAAAACGATAAGAAATAAGATAAAAAAATGAAGAACTAAAAATTAAACTAAATTTACGATACTATTACTTATATATAAAAATATTACAATATAAATCAAAATATTATTTTAATTCTTATGATTTTATTTACTTTATTTTTAAATTTTTATAGTTTAAAATAAACTTTTTAAGTTTAGATATTTATCTTTCTTAATTTTTTTAATTCATGTAACTTAAAATATATTTTTTAATATTATATTTGTAATTTTTAATTATTTTAGTCTTTATCATTATGTTTTTAATGTTATCTTTTTTGTATCGTATTGATGTGATTATGATATTAGTTCAATTTTGTGTGTATGTTATAAATATTTTAAATTAAATCTCTTAAAATTTCGTGTTTCTTTCATAGATGTATTTGTAATATTTATTGTTGAGATATTTGTTTATATTCTCACAGAATTAAAAACTTCTACCATATCAACAACAAAGTAACAACACTATAAAAGAAAATGAATAAATGATAGAAAATAAAGTAAATCAAACTATACATACTAAAAAAAATTAACATAAAATATATAGTTCAAAGAAACTCTTATAATATAAATTTAAAAGAGTGTATTCAATTAGATTTTTTTTAAAAGAATTGCTATAAAAGATTTTGATAAATTGTTTTATAAGATAAATTTTATGAAATATTTTAATAAAATTTATAAATTATACATTCATCTAATAATTTCACATAAATTATGATTTTTTTTTTCTCTCTCTCGTTCTCATCACTCTTCTTTCTTGCTTTTTTCCTTTTTCTTTTCTTTCTCTTTCATCTCCTATATTACATTTCTTCTCTTATTTATTTTTTTCATTTTTCTTTCTTCTCTCTATTCTTTCTTCTATGTTTCTTTTTTTCTTTTCTTTTATCAATATTAACATAAAATTTATTAATATATGTATTTTAAACTATTAAATATTATCCATCGTTACTTTTTAAATTATTAAATATTTAAATTTGACTAAAATTTATTTTCAGCAAAAGTTTCAACTTATTATATAATGAAAATCAAATTGTCTAGTATAAATTAAGTATTTGAAATTTAAAAATTTTGAATCTATTTAACCAATTATAAAATTATAAAATTAACATAATTCAAATTTCAAACATTTTAAATTTTAAACTTTATTTTCTAAACACAACTTAAGAGGGCTTTTTTTTGTTATTTAAAACATTAATATGTAAAATGTACATTCAAAAGAGACATAATACAAAACATTATGAATGTTTGAATAATAGAGTTAATGTTTTACTCTTTAAATAATATGCAATGTCAGTTTAAAAATAATTATATATATATATATATATATATTATGAAAATACCATTGTCAATAATTTCATAAAATTTTACAAGATTTTAAAGATCTTAATTTCGATAACATGTGATTTGATAGTTAAACAAGGATTGAGTGTGTATGCTAAAATAAGAGAAAAAAATTAGATTTTACTTTTACTTCAAGGTACATGATAATTATATATTTATAGTAAATTTGAAATTATATTTGTCATTATTCTTATATATGAATAATTTTAGGATTGCATTGAATATATTGGTGATACACATATTTTGATGACAATGAGGGACAAGATGTAAATAATAATGGTAATTATCATAGAAATATATCATAACATATATTAACAACTTGTAATTGTGATTTAGAATTCATATGCATTTTTAGTGAATGGGAAGGTTCAACTCGTGATTCTAACTTACTAAGGATACATTTGATTTGCTAAAAATAAAGAGATAAAGCGGTACAAAATTATTTGATACATGTTTGATTTTAGAATCTGATACAGGATAGAACAAAATAAAAATTGAGAGACAGAATAAAAGTATAAAAAATTGTAACTCACTCATTCACGATACAACTTTTTGTTTGGTACATAATCCATTCAAAATGTCAAAATTGTCCTTGTGGCTCTCTCACTAACGCACAACTTCCACTTCTCCTAGGTTGCTTCTTTTCGGATTTTTTTTCACTAGTTTTCTTCCCTACATAGTATTTCCTTACTCTCCTTTATTTCAAGCTTTTGTTGTGCTTTTTGCGATTCAAAGACACTTTCACATGAAGTCACAAACATGTAATTACAGGTAAACACTTAAATAATTTGGAGTATTGTTTTTCCACGCACCATGTTAGAAACTTACAAGCAAGCACTTAAATAATTAATATATAATATACTAATAGAAACTAATGTCATCTATTTAGCTTATTGAACAATTTGGTACACATACATGTGGATTTCATTTGTTATTTCAATATTACATTATTTTATATTTCACATTTATTTGTATAAATCTTTCCCCTTCATCAATGCTTCTTTCAACCTTATAAAGAAAAGAAATTTGAATGTTCCACAACAAATTAAAAGAAATCCGTAAAATCCACGTAATTCTCATATTTTCGTCACAAAATGATTATGGATTTAAATTCCTGTAAAAAAATGAATTTGAAGAAATTCGATTAGTGTAAATTGGTGAAAGTAAAATGAAAGAAAAACAAAGATTTTCTTTAAAATGCAAAGAAAAGTATTGAAGACTTGTTGGGAGAGTGTTTAAAACATATAAAGCAATATAGTAAAACGGATAGTTTAAGAAATTTCACTTGTTTTATCATGTACTTAAATCTATCAAACAGAGTACAACATAAAAATGTGTCTATCGGATACCAAACAACATACAAGACAAAAAAATTGTCTTGTGACTCAACTATTTGTCCTGTACTATTCTATCCATCCAGCACTATATGTGTATCAAATGCATCCTAAGTGATGCTTTGACAACAAAGAATGAAATTGAAATACCCCAAGGTAAATCTACTTTTAAATGATAAATATGATTTTTCCTTCTTCTTTTTTTCTTTTTGTACTAATTTAAGTGTTGTATATATAATTAGATAAATATTTCTTAGCACATTGTGAAATTGGAAATAACTTTTAACTTGATTTCAATGCATTGTGAAATTGGCAACAACTTTTAACTTGATTTGGATGCATGCAATATTATTTACAAATTTTGTAGGTCATGTTAAGGTGGTGACCCTCAAAATGAAAAAAAATTATTTGACATTCGTAAAGATATTTGATATTTTTAAATCACACTTCATAATTTTTAAGTTAGTGTCTCTATTTATATTTAAAACACAAGTTGAACTTTGTGTTAACATGTATAATAATACATAATTGTTTTCACAAATAATGTTGTTCTAATAAAATTTTCATTAAATTAGAAAAAAGTATTTATTTTCAGTGTTACATGTTAATAAAAACCATAATCTTGAACAAATTGTTCAAACTCAAATGCATGAAGGAGAAGTTATTAATGGATGGAGAGCTATGATATTTAAGAGAACATGAAACTAAACTCATTTCTCTATTAAGAGATCGAAAATATTATATAAATTTTACTTTTCTTTATTCAAATATTGACATTTATATTATTTTTTTATTAATTCTTATAACATTAAATATTTTGTTCAAAATTCATGTCATCTTTTAAAATCTTGTAAACCAATAAAATTTTATAAATTCTTTTGATATAATTAATTGAAATTTAAACTAAAAAATCTTAAAAGTCATCACGTTAAAGTTGTCTTTTGACATTTAATTCAATATATCTCTTATTTCAATACTAAAAGCAACTATGAAATTGTCTTCTCAATAGTCAAAACACACCCAACCAGCCTTGCTATTATCTATAAGAAGACTAGCACCACTCCCATATTCAGAGGACTCCAGCTGATATGGTCCAAACGTTTATATTCCTTAGTCAAAAATTGATGCAGGTTTATAAATATAAGTAGCCAAAAGGAAGTCTTTATAACCTTTGAACTATTACATACATTAACAATTTAATTTCAAAATGACTCCCAAACATTAAAATTGGAATAAATAGGGGTATATCTAATTTTATATATGCTCCAATTCCATATTAAATTATAAAAACTAAATGGTCAATTTGATCTTATAATGCGATGAAATAATCAAAATGTCTTTCAAGCTCTCAGAGAATGCTAGACTGCTAGATTTGCTATTTGAGTATTGAAAATAAACACCTTGTTGTTTAGATTTAATAAATGCAATCAAAGAACCAACAGTGCCCATGTTAAGCTGCATTATACATTTTCTAAGGAATTCTCCCAATCTTCTATACAAAACGTCATCAATGAACTCAACAAAGAAAATTAGGAGCCTACACATGTCTATAATTCATTTTGTTTATACATGTCTCTTTTTGAAAAAAAAAAATCCATCTTTTTGTTTGGATTTAATTAATGCAATGAAATAACTAAAAGTGGGCAATAAGTTGCATTATGCACTTCCTAAAGAATTTTGTATAACCCCTATTCAGAACAGCAACAATGAATGAGTTTGACGATGTCTACAAGTCATTCTCACTCATGAACAAACATAAAATCCATGTTGCATGTTCTCCACTAGCAAGCCTATGATTAAGAAATCTTAATTCTTGCGTTTGTAATTGCCTTGAACGGTAAGTAAAGTGTTACTTACCTGTCAAATTCAAGCATCCCAGCTAGTTATGCCATGGATGCATGCATGCCATTGCCAGTCTCATTTTACCTTTGATTTGAAACGTTTTACCTTCACAACGTGCTTTCGAGTGAAGCTACGAATTATCTTTCTAACATCCTTTCTAATAGAGAAGAATGCTGAGATTAGCGCTACATACATGGCGGGATAGATATGGATACCTTTTGCATAAGTGAAAGCAGATTTTCCCATAATGGACTCTCTAATTAGACCCCACATAAGAAGAATGATTCCAAAAAAGCTCATTCTCCCTGGTCTTATCACACCTGTGATTGCTCCTCCCACAGACAAGTAGCTTCCTGCCAGAACCTGCAGGAGAAATCCAACTTGAAAATTAGTGTCAAAGCTTAACCTTCAAGGAGTTCACTAGTATTTAAAAAAAATATATTAGTGACACACTCTCTAACAAATTATTATTAGTTGAATTTTGTTAAAAATCACAAAATTGTGAGTCTTATTCTTTATTTAATAAATTTCACTCATAATTTTTAACCAGCACGCTAAAAGTAGTGTGATAGAGTGTCTTGCTAGTACTATTCAAAACATTATAGAGGCATTATTTTTCAGTTAAGTATCAACACAACACCTCTAGGCGTTGGAGATCTGTTGAAGCAGAGACCGCCCTTTTATTGAACTGGTACAACTTTAGCAGATTTCCATAGCTTGGGAGAGTTTTCTGCTTGCAAATTGCTTTCGCTAGAGCTCCAGGGTAGAGAAGAGTCTTCACTATAAAAAGAGGGAAGACCTCACTTGCAATTAACTGAGAAGATGTCACTTCTAATGGTGTTTTACACATTCCAATTCTACATGGAATACTGAAGATAAATGGAATAGGATTATTCAGAGTTATCACTGAAACAGAACATAAAAGTACTATTCCATAATTTCATTCAGAATTTTATGCGTTAATCAATGCAAGAATAAGAAAAGAGAGAAGAAAAAAAAAACCTAATAATAAGACTCTGTCACTGGTGGGAGTGCAATCATGACACAAATTAATGCTATACTTCTACAACAATTGTCTGATATGTTGGAGATTCATTTTACACTTATATTTGCTAGTTCATTTGTCTGACATTATGTAGGTGCATATTGCTGAAATGAAAGTATCACAAAAGTGGGTTCCTAATATTAATTGAAGATGATGCATCTAATTTCAACAAGGTTACGATCATGTTTTTATTTTTTTTTGATAAGCAAGGTTACGATCATGTTGTTGATCGATGATTAGAAAATCCTAAAAAGAAAATGACAATAAGCATTATTGGATTACAAACAAAATTGACCAATAAGGCACATTGGATCTACAATCCACGATAAAAACAAATATTAAAAAGACAACAGTAAAGACTGGATTATATAATAACATTGGGGGATTTAATAGTGCTTCAGAGAAAAGATTCCTAGCTTAATTTTTTTTTTTTTTTTCTAATCTCTTGGTTTTTTTAAGCTCTATTCTCAGGACGATATTGAATGAGTCGATTAACGAAATAGGAGGAGGAATAAGAGAAATGATACCTGAAAATGGGAACTTGAAAAATGATGATAAAGAAATATATTGAAAAAGCGATGGAGCAAACGAGGGTAGTCCATTTCTTAGAAGAAGCCATGGCAGCAAATCTCTTTTCTAAAAGGTCCCAAAAAATGGAATAGATGTGGCAATCGGGGTCAGGGGTAACACTTTGACGAGTTCAATTTTACCCTAAAATTAAAAATCCCTTTCAAGTTTCTTTCTCTCTTATTTTTATAGCAAATCTCTCTCAAAAGAAAGCAACCAGTAGCATCTCATTGCAACCATTTTTTAATCTTTTCTATCTTTAAGAAGAAGAAAAATGTTTTCGTTTTGGGTTTTCCGCAACTGGTGTTTGGTAAATAAATGTTTCACTTTCATATGCATTGGACCACATCCACGTCAGCCTCTTGTCTTTTATTCTTTTTAAATACTGCCAAATTTTACACATATATAATCAATGTCAAGGAATCATTCCAATTCCGATAAAGCACGTGACTCAAGGAGGTACCATCATATGTCAAAGCTAGTCCAACAAAGATATAGTAAGTATATTGGAAGAAAATAATTACTTTTATTTACACAATTTTTTATATTAAAGATAAATATATTACTGTTAACAATGATAGATAATTATATTCTTAACGTAAATAGTTTAACTATATATAAATTCTTAAGTATAACTAAATTATATCATATTTTTAGCAAATTTAAACATTAGCTTAACATTTGCATAAATAACATTCTTTTATTTTTGTTTTATAGATCAACATTTTAAAAAATCATTTCAAATTAAGGAGTGCAAGAACATTAAAATATCACAAACCTACATATTTCACTAATAATAAAGACACAAAAATTTGGTGGAAGTCACCAATCAATTATGAGAGATTTATCAAATAATATGTGCATAGTATTATTCTTCCTATAGTCGACTATTCACATTAACTAAGAATGTGACAACATTCAAACTCTTCACACCTTCATTCTCAATCCCAGGGGGCTATATACCATATAAGTGCCAAAAATATGATATACAAAGAAATCGTTGAAGTACCCTTCACTATAATTGTACTCATGCACTCGAAGTTAGGGGGGTTGTGTACTGTTCGAGTTGCCACATCACAACCTAAGACTGTGTCTCGACATTTGGAGAACATTTTGCAACATATGTTTTGAAGGTGCAACACTTGAGAGTTAGACGAATATTCCACAACCAACATAGTGTCTTGGCATTTGGGGGACACTCTACAATGTGTGCCATGAAGAAACCACTATTTGCGAGTGTACCATATGGGTCAGCACATAGATCATCATGAATATGAACCAAAAAGTGATCATTAGGATACCTTTCACTACAAGACTCTTTGTGCTCATGCACTTAAACTTAAGGATTGTGTATCAACTAAATCATCACAATGTCGACATAAGACTATGTCTCAACATTTAGATGACACTTTGTGATGTGTGTTGTGAAGATGTTGCCCCCCAATGGTAGTTCAATAGTTCTACAATTGACGATGTGTTTCGATATTTTGGAGACACTCCTTAACAAGAATTATAAAGATGCAATTTGCAGGATCACATAGTATAAAAAATATGTACTTGAAACAGTCATAAATGTTGTGGTTTGTGAAATCATTTAAGAATAATAAGGTTATAATGTCATCTACGAATTTGGGAACAAGAGATAAGGGATTCCGTTACCAAACATGGACTTGTTATATTGTAGGAGACTCTCAAACTTGAAGGTTAAGTTACACTCATTGAATGTTCTGGACCGGGATAACAACTAGAATTCTATAGAGGTAATCTCGCATATTGGAACTATATGAGACGCACCAAATTTACAATTTTTAATAAATTTTAGTTTAAAATATAAAAAAAATATTTTTTAAAAAAATATGTCCATAACGTTCCTCTTAAAAAAATTTGAAATATTTCAATCATATGGGCCAGGCCGATTAAAATATGTGAAGGCATAAAAGCAAAAAAAAAAAAAAAAAAAAAAAAAAAAAAAAAAAAGGGAAAAAGAAAAAAAAATTGAATCATTCATATCTCGGATTATACTATTTTCAAAATCTGGGGCATGTTCAAATCAAATGAAACGCGTCTTGTTAAGCCATCTCAATTATAACAATTGAAAAGAATTTAAACTTTCATGTTTGCAGCAAAAACAAAAATTGCACCCAACAAAAGTGAAAAGGGTCAATCTCCTAGTCCATTATAGAAAATTGACGCTAATACAATGTCAATTTCAAAATGATGTTAATACTCAATATGGCACACAATTTGAAGCCGCAATTTCTTGACAGAAACACAATTTTACAATCTCATGTTTGTTGGTACTTGGCTATTTGGCAAATCGCAATTGAGTAGTTAATAAAACACTTCATACGCGAAGTTTGCTAACCATCATCCCTTCAAACTGGGATCTTCAGTTTTGGGGCATATCTATGTCTATGTCTATGGGGAGCAACCTTCCCTTGGATCTCTTAGCCAACATCTTCTTCTTTCTCTCCCTAGACTCGTTAGCCAGAGCAAGATCAGTTTACAAAAGTTGGCACACATGTTCCAAACATTGCCCTCTTGCCCCAACAACAACCTCTTCATGGTTCTTGGCTTTTCCAATTTGCAACCATAGACCATGTTGGTATGTTCACAACTCAATCCTACAAAAGTGGCACCAACTCACGTGGTGTGCCTATGGCTGAGAGGCTGGCCTTTGCCACACTTGTGAGGAGGAATGAGGTGTTGGCTTTGGTGGGTGGCATGTGCGAGGGGAGTGCTTGCATTTGGGAGCTGAGTGAGGGGGACATGTGGTTGTTGGTGGATGAGGTGCCACATGAATTGGGGTTGAGGTTGTTGTTGGGGAAGAGTGTTAAGTGTGGGGGGTTTGTAGAGGGTGAATGGCTTTGGCGTTGGGTTGATGGGTGTGGTTACATCAAGGGGGAAGAAAGTGCACAATTGCACTATAAGAGGGACCACTAGGGTCTAATAGTATTGGATGAGTGTTGAATCTATTTATCCACATGTTTTTGTTTAAAAAATAAAATTAAAACTATTTTAAGATAATTTAATTTTGTGTTTGCCGGTAAACTATTTCGGCTAACTATACAAAAATAAATATAACTTATCATTATTTATGTTGCACTAATTAATTATTGTTTATGATATAGCATTATTATATTTTGTTATTATTATTATAAGAGAATGATCACTAGATCCTCCTTAACATTATACTCATATTTAATACTTTTTCAGTAAATTTTTTTTTTAAGGGAAGTAAATATTTTTTTTAAATCATACTGTTATATATATATATATATATATATATATATTATATATATATATATATTTTT